GAGGCTTTCTACTCCCGTAAAGATTTACACCCTCGGAAACCCTATACAGGGTCGCTATGGGTCGGAACCGACTCGATGGCACATAACAACAACATCTTTATTTCTCACAACACTGGTAAATCCTATGGCTACCAACATTTAAAAGATGAAGAAACTGTCAAAGTGAAGTAACATTCCATGGGTCAAGTGGCCGAGCTAGGATTCCAATCCAGTCTTCCTGAGTTTAGAATTTTATTCTATATTTCTGATACAGTAGGAAAAGTACAGGTTGGAGTTAACTGACCTGGATGATTTTTAAATTAATTGCTTGAGCTGTAAGATTCATTTACTTCATCTGTATGATGGTGTTATATTGGAGATGCAAGATAGTACGGTTAAGAATAGACTAGTTAAGATTATCTACCTGGGTTCTTCACCCACCTCCATCACTTAGAAGCCATGACTAAGTTACTTGATTTCTCTATTCATGTTTCTCACCTAAAATGGTACCAGCTTCATAGGGTAGGATAGTTATCAGGATTAAGTGAGTATATTGAAAGTACTTAAGAGTTTTACCTGTTGTAGTAATCTCATGTTAACTTTTAGCAGGTTGTTTCCTTTCTCACTTGACCAAGCATTACAATGAACTGTTAAGTACTGTTGAGTTGGTTCTGACTCATAGCGACCCTATGTGGGGTTTCTGAGGAGCAATTGGTGAGTTTGAACTGCCAACTTTGTGGTTAGCACTCTAATTTTTCACTTTAACAGGCACTTGCTTCAGTGAGCTGTTCTTTGACCATATTTCTATGTTCATGTACAAGAACTTCCATAGAAGAAAAATTCTTGAATAGAATTTGCTAAGTTTGCTAGTCTGTGCAGTTTCACTATTTCTAAACATTGTCAAATTGCTTGGAACAACTGATGTTATCAGATTGAATTTTTAAAAACATGTCAGGTGTGACATTGTTTTATTTTAGTACTCAGTTTCCTAATTCTTAGTGAGATTTCGTATCCCTTCTTATTGTTACTGGCTCTTGGATTTCCTTAGCCCAATTCTCTAAAGGGTTGACTGTCTTTTTCTTATTGTCCATTTTGTTGTTTCATCGAGTTACTAATATTTTGCTTTATCTTTTTTTACTGTATTTTCTCATATCAAAGTTATTAATGTTGATGCAGTTAACTTTAGCTATGTATTCCACATAATATGTTTTCTTGATTGGTAAGTTATGCACTATTGAAATGTACAAGGGAGAAAAAAAAACCTTTTTAGTTGCTTCAAAGTGAAGCTTTAAATGGTTGTTAATTAATATTTGTTAAACTATAAACCTAACAAGAATAAAGTAATTATAAACTGGTAAAATGTTCTGCCTTCAGAGACAATCTAAGATAGTGGTTGTGATCTTGTCCTCTGGAGGCAGACTGAGTTCAAATCCCAAATGTGCCTTTTTCTGCTTAACTTCACATGGGATAATAATATGACCATTTAAGTAGTTAATATGTATACAGTAAAACCTCTGATAGTCGAAACTCAAGGAGGACTTTGTTTTTCAAGGTCTCACAAGTTTTCTGCCTTTGACAGGGTGCAGTATTAACCAGTTTTCTATCACTCTATTAGTGAAAATACTCATTTTCTGACAGGCTTCTGTCTTAAGCAGGTTTTACTGTATATTCAGAAAAATGCCTGTCAGGTAGTAAGTGCTTAGTAAATGTTACTATTTAAAAAAAAAAAAATTGTTTAATTCTCTTGAGAATGACTATTTTTGCCTTGTTTCTGTCACAGTGGTTTAAACTATAGTATCTAAGGATTCTTCTTGTTAAGTGCCTTCCAGTCAGTTCCAACTCATAGTGACTCCATATAGGGTTTCCAAGAAGCAGTTAGTGGATTTAAACTGCCAGTCTTGTAGTTCAAACAGCCCTTGTGGTTGAGCATTTATCTGCCAGCACCATACCTGGACTCCCCATTAGTTGGTAAATTTAATGTTTCTGTACCCTATATCGAAGTCCTGGTGTGGTGCTATAGGGTAAGAGCTGGACGATATATAGGGTAGCTATGAATCGAAACTGACTTGACAGCACATACGAACAAGAGATTCTGACTCAGTCAGCCTGGTGTGGGCCAGAGATTTGTATTTTAAACAGACACCTCATCTGATCCAGATGGTCTGTAGAACACACTTTGGGAAGCACTCCCTTGGGCACATTGATTTTCAGGTTTCTCTTAGCTGGTAATATGCAAGTATGACTGAAGTTACAGAACATGAAAAGTTGATTCTTAACCTTGTGAACCAGTTAATCCCATGAGGATCTGTTGAGAATGATGGACTCTTCCCCCCAAACAAAAACAATTGGCCTATGTACAGTATTTTACATCCCATTTTAATGGGTTCCTGGATTCCCTGAAGTCTGGAATCCATGGGTCTTTGGAAGCCTAGGGTAATGTTCCATTGTCTCTTGTGCTCTAAGTGGGTTCCAACCCATAGCGACTCTGCATAGGGTTTCCCGAGGAGCAGCTAGTAAGTTTGAACCACTGACCTTGCAGTTAGCAGTCCAGTGCTTAACCTACGGTGCTGCTCCAGGACTCCATCACCAAATCATAGTGGCCCTGTGTACAGCAAAACAAAACTGCCCAGGCATAGGTCCTCATGATTGTTAGGTTTGAGTCCATTGTTTCAGCTGCTGTGTCAGTCTGTCTCATTGAGGGTCTTTCTCGTCTTCATTGATCTACCAAGCATGATATCCTTTCCTAGGGACTGGTTCTTCATGGTAACATGTCCAAGGAGTATTCATTGTTCTGGCAGTCCATGGTATATTCATTGTTCACCCACACCATAATTCAAAAGGCATCCGTTTTCTCAGTCTTCCTTATTCACTGTCCAGCTTTCACATGCCTATTCTGTTAAGTGCCATTGAGTCACTTCTGACTCAGCCACCCTGTATAGCGTTTCTGAGGCTATATATCTTTGTAAGAGCCAGCAGGCAGCCTGTTCTTTGTACAGGGAGCAGCTGGTGGCCTCCAATCACCAACCTTGTGGTTCACAATACAGTGCTTAGCCTACAGAGCCACGAGCTTCCACATACACATGTTGACTGCTGTCAAGTTGATTCCAACTCACCGACCCTGTATAGGGTTTCCAAAGAGCAGCTTGGTGGGTTTGAACCACCAACCTTGTGGTTTGTCCAGTGCTGGATGGATCCTTCAGTCCTACACTAGGAGTTTAAAAATACCATCCATGGTTTGGCTAAGGCACACCTTAGTCGTCAAACTGACATCTTCCCTCTTCAACACTTTAAGTCTTTTGCAGCAGATTTTCCCGATAAAATTTGTTCTTTAATTTCTTGATTGCTGCTTCCATAAGTGTTGGTTGTAGGTTCAAGTAAAATGAATTCTTCAACAACTTTAGTTTTACCTCTGGTTATTATGTTGTTTACGATCTGTTCTAAGGACTTGTTGATATTAAGGTGTAATCCATACTGAAGGCTGTGTGTAGTCTTTGATCTTTATCACTGAGTGCTTCTCATACATAGCTTGGTGTATACTTTGTTGCCATCAAGTGCCATTGAGTTGGTTCTCATTCACAGCGACCCTATATAGGGCTTCCAAGGAGCAGTTAGTGGGTTTCAACCACCAACCTGTGTGTGGTTAGCAGCTCAGTGCCTATCCTATAGCACCACACCAGGACTCCTGGTGTATTTGTTGTTAA